GTATGGTACTTTTACAGTAATAATTCGAAAACATTTTAGTTTTTTTCATAGGGTATGATTTCACCATTTTTGGCTTTCAATGCCCAGATAGCATTCAAGTCAGACCAGCAAAACACATCAAGTAACATGCAGATGGTTTGTGTATGTATACATACTGTATACACACAAATGTAGGTATAAACTGTTATCTATGAATCTTTATAATTAGTTCAACAGCTGTAAAATATCTGTTGTTAGTTGAGTCTTTTGCCCTACACACTAACCTATAAACGGATAAAGAATTTATTTGGCATCTGTGGTGATGCTCTTGTGTTATTATGTGGTTTTGTAGGATGTTTAGCTCATGTTTGGTATTGGTATTTGTTAAATTTATTGTGTTAAGAGAGGTGTTGGTTGGTCGGGCAGGATGTGGTCAAATTAGTCGAGTGTGTTTTTTGTTTATTTGTGAGGTTAGATATTTTGTTTGTATCTTGGGTTTTAATGGGGTGTCTGAGGTTCTGACAGTTGTTCACATGTACACTGCTGAGGTTTTGTGATTTAAGTTAGTTTAAGACAATGCTTTAATGAAATAAAATGTGCCCATGTGTTGTTGAAGTGGTGGATGATTTTTATGCTAAGATGTCAGCGTGGAATTTTGTTTGTTCTTAGTCATTCAGTAAGTGATGGCCTCAACTCAGTATAAAAATGATGAGGAACATTGCTGTTGGTCATGGAAAAGATTAACACATATTTTATGGTATCAGATGTCGCTGTCTGGAGAACAAAAAATTCATTCTTACTCATACCCATGTGAATGGGTGCTGGCAAGCTCCAAAAGTATATTAAAAAAATCCTAAAACTGGTCCATATGACTTATGCACAAAGTCTTTTGATGCTTCTACAAAATTTCATTTGTGGTGTTCCACATACAAAAGAGTTTGAGGTGTGGAACCACATCCGGGTGAGTAAATGATGACAGAATATTCATATTTGGGTGAACTATTCCTTTAATGCACTGAAAAGCACACAGATAGTCTTCTCTTAATACAAAACAGATACAGATAATATAACAATCAGATAAATTCACATTTGTGGCATGCAAAAAAGCCATCATACATTCAAAATATTTTCAGCAAGGCTGAATGTTGTGTGCATTTGCAGCCATGGAAAACTTAAATTTAAGCTTATGAATTAGCCCCACACAACCCCCAATAGTTAACAAAGCTGTGCCTCTGAAGGTCATCAGTGGTCTTCAAGAATGAGAGGAATCTAGTGAATGATTGGAGGAGAGATATGGAATGAAATATGACAACAACAAAGATAAAGGCTGCCTGGAATGTGATTCTGTTGTTTTTGGCGATTGGTTGATTATTGATATTGTTGATTCTGTCATTATTGCCAATTTCTGATGACATGAGTTGCAGTGTTCGCAAAGCCCCTACAAAATGTTAATTTTTTAACAGCAAGAAAACTGATTCCTTTACAAAATTAAATGACATCTCATTTTTACTAGTATATTTACTGTACTAGATCAGGTATTTAAAATCTATGGCCAGTTACAGAGCCCAACAATAACGTTTGGGCAACCCTTGTCCAACAGTGCAGCAACCTGATGACCTCCAGCAATAAAATTACTTTCTGTGTGAACAGGATTTAAGAAAAGGGGTCATGTGATGCGATTACAATTTTTCCTTTCTTTTTGGAGTGTTACAAGCTCTTGGTGCATAAAGAAGATCTGTAAAGTTGCAAAGACTAAAGTCTCAAATCCAAAGAGATATTCTTTATAAAAGTTGAGTCGACAATAATCAAAGCAGCCTTACCTGCATTATCTCTTGTCTTTCAGCATCCCTCCACCACCCCGACTCCTCACCTTCAGCCCGTTCCTACCCCAGCACCATGGGGATCCAGGCTTAAACCCAAGCTTGGACCCCTCGCCCCAGACAGGGGGAGTACCCCGGGCTCGAGAGTAATTACCGAGCTCGGAGCCCTCTCCCCGGACAGCACTCCAAATACGCATAACCCTTACTCTGTTCATTATATGTAAGTGTGAACTCGTGAAATGGTAAGGGGCGTAACATTACCGTCACACGCTTGAGGCATTCGGACAATCACAACTCACTGGATAGCTGGCCAATCACAACACACCTCGCTTTTCAGACCGATGAGCTTTGTAAAAATCGATGCGTTTCAGAAAGGCGGGGCATAGAGGAGAAACAATAATGTACAGTATGTGGAAAAAAGTGTTTTTTGAACCTTAAACCGCATAAACACATTTCATTACACCAAATACACAAAATAATGTTCTTTTTAGCAACATCATATGACCCCTTTAAGAAAAAGTAAACAGATACAAATTGCATGTTTGAAACATGAATAATAAACATGAATGATAATAATGATTAAACATGCTTGCATTCATTACCACACTTACATAGTCATTCAGGCACAAACACACTGTCAATTAGGGGTGAATTCTTTGTGGATGACTGCATCACAGGCAAAAATATTTGATTAAGAGCACATGAAGCCACAGCAAAGAAAACATGACAAAAAAAGTAAAGAATTCAGTTTATAAATGCAGTTCTGATAATATCCAGGCACCACAGTTAGAAGGACTCGATTATAAATGATGTGTGTGTGATATTCTCCAGTTGGACAGAAGGACAGATTGTGAATATATACCATATCCTCTAATCTCATCATGACAGAGATGTGTGTTCTTTCTGTGGATCTGAGTATGTACAGTATATGTGCGTATGTGTCCACCCATATCCACATTTGGCACTGAGTAAAATTAAACAGTTTTTCACCTGTACCCTAAGCATGCTCACTACACTGTATAAAGCTACTGATTAATTCTTGATTGTTTTGCAGTCAGGTGAAACGTGTGTTTATACACATGCCTTATCTAGATCTGGGGCTCTTTGACTGAGCTACAGGGCACATTTTACTGCAAAAGGATTAACAAAACAAATTCTTATTTTTTTGGATAATGTTTGCTTTTACTTAATTTCATTATTAGAACTGGATTTAATAAAAATGTTTTACTGTAACATTATGAGGTTGCATCCTAGATGGCACACAATACATTTGAAATGAATACACTTAGTATTGCACACAATTTTTTTTCATTGCTTGATAAATTATTTTTTTTACCAGTCTACTTAGATCCATCATCAAATCAAAAGAGTAAGAAATAAAGATTGTAACGAAGTTCACAAAGCCACTTGTCTTGATTTATTAACTCGTTTACAAAATATTACACACTACTGTTCAAAAGTTTAGGGTTTATATGAGAAAGAAGTAGAAGATACCTTGCCAAGGCTGCATTTATTTGGGGAAAAAATAAATAAAAAAACACAGTAATAATATTGTACAGTATTAATTTAAATGAACTGTTTTCTATTCTTACATATTTTAAAATGCAATTTATTCCTGTGATGGCAAAGCTGAATTTTCAGCAGCCATTACTTCAGTCTTCAGTGTCACATGATCCTTTAGAAATCATTCTGATATGCTGATTTGGTGTTATAGAAAATTTCTTATTACAGGTTTTATCAGTGTTGTGCTGCTTAAAGTCCAATTTTAGGTCAGAATGCAATGATAGGATGTCATATCTGCCTGTCAACTTATGTATTTTTATACCTCCACACAGCTAATAGCGAGAGTTTGGGGCATTGTTACTGTAGCACAGTGATCCTCAAATCTGGCTCGCGAGATCCACTTTCCTGCAGACACACCTGAGTTTGCTAATCAATGTCTTCAGGATCATTAGAAAATCACAGGTAGGTTTGTTTGATTATAGAGTTGGAGCTAAACTCTGCAGGAAAGTGGATCTCGCGAGTCAGATTTGAGGATCACTGCTGTAGCAGGATGAGCCAGAGGGTGTTTAGCCGGCGTGGAAGAAGAAATTCAGACTCCATTACAGAAGTAACGGAAGTACAGAATTCAAAGAATTTCCAAAATACACAAAGACAAACAATGGGGTAAATCAAGAGTAAACATTGGCAGTGTTTTTATAAGATGGTGAAATTTTGGGTTTCAGTCGATACAACGAACTTGCAGATTTCTTCTCGACAGGTTAGCTAAACTTCAAGTTAAAAGTATTCCTAATATGTTGGACCTGCTATTAAAAGTAGTGTACTTTTACCTGTTGAGACATGCCTTCATTTTATAGACACATGCATGACGCGCGAAAGGTTGTTTGCTAAATAGCTAATGTAGCACAGAAACTGCCAACCCTAGCCTTAATATTTTTGTGGAAACTGATACTTTTTTCAGGATTCTTTAATAAATAGGAAGTTCAAAGGAACATCATTATTAGATTTTTTTTTTAGCATTTGTTTCTCACAAAAAATGTATTCCATCATCTAGCTTCAAAAAAGATTCAATATGTTTCCCCGTGCCCCCCAGTCTTTCCGTTTTGAAAAAGACTGTAGGGATTTTTGCACACGTTTCATCCGTGTTCTCTCATGCTGTCTGCTTGCATTCATTAGCCAAATATACAGAATAAACAAATTTAAAGCTACAGCCCGAGCATCTGGTATCCACTGCAATGGGACTGAATACAGCTGAGCACAGAAAAACGATGCTGAAGTATTTTTCCTGCTCCCTACGTTAGTGCTTTGTGATCATCTCTGATTGAGACAACACAGAGGTTTGTTAGTTTACGGAGATGTGTGAGTATTCCTTCTGATGGGGAGTAAAACAAATCACTAGAGGAACTGAATCCAGTACTTGTCATGGATTCATGGCAACACATGAAAGTTAAACAGTTAACTTTGAAATATACAGAAGCCAGGCTGTTACAACATTGAACGATTTTAATAGGTATATTTAATTTCGCTATGAGGTGCAAATGAGAAAGGAAGGAAAGGAAGGCTTAAAGAATTGTTTGCTTTGCCATATCATTTTGTATATCCCCTGTTTAAATGCTTGAGCTGTTTTAGTGTAACCAATATAATAGCATTCACTGGAAAAGACTATTCAACATTGGCTCAAAATGTTTCTCTGTTCTTAAGGGCTGACACAGATGCACGGACCATTTAAACCACGGATGCTGTGCAAACAGTCCTTTTAAAGTGTACTGTGGAGTTCACGAACGGTCAAACCAACAGCTCAATGGAGGACAGTGCGTCAGCTCAAAGGATCCCCTCTGGTGAGCTAAAGTTGAAGTCAAAATACTACATTTAAACAATACAGTTGTCAGGGAGAGAGCAAAAGAGAGAGAGAGAGGTTCATCATATCCATGTGTTTGGGTATGCTTTGGGTTTGAGGAAATGTGTTGAATAACACATTACTGGATGTGCATCACTTGACACATTTATTGTGAAAAATAATTAACAACTGCTGGAGATAATCAAGTGCAGCATTTTGGGTCTCTGTCTGTTTCTCTCTCTCTCTTTTGTTCTGTCCCTTTTATCCTGTGACTGTTCGACCTTGGAGTTTTGCTTTTTAAAAACATTAATCAGGGTGCATGACGCATTTTGTGCTCTACATTTGATCAGCCATAATATGTTGAGTTAGCGGTTTGTAAAGGCCTCTTCAGGGAGCAAAACAGCTCATGTGTGTGTGATTGTTCTATGTGCTTATATGCATGTTTCCTTGTGTGTTCATGCCTGATTTCATTCCCTTATCTTTGTGATCCCTAGAGTGTTCATCGTTGTGGTTTTGGGCTTTGAATAGTTTTGGCTAAATCGAGTCGTCTGTGTTATGAGTTCAATATGAACCACATGTTGATTCAAACACATACTCTGTCAGCCATATTCCAGGAAGGTTCATTTGAAATTATGAGACAACAGGATTAAAAAGAAAGGTAAAAGATCCTGGGGTGCATTAGACTGGTTCCCTTTCAGTCGGTCACTCTCAACGTCACGTCGGATGACCGACGAATTGGGATCTCGCTTAGAGAGACCAATCTACTTCGAGTGTAAACTAAACAAGCCAATGCACATTGAACTTGTACTGCTATACATACATTTTACATTAAATTAGGGCATTTGTTGTGAAATTCAGTTCACTAAATTAACTAGTTGAGATTTTTCACTGCTGTGATAGTGTGTAAACCTACTTTTCCCTGTAATTTTCAGTAGTGTTTTTTGTCAATTTAATGTGTAATGTGAACAATAAAACTTTCAAAATGACAGGTTTTCATAAATGTAACAATTTATGGTTTGGAGACGTTTCGGAGCCGCTCAGGTAGACCTGTTTGCCTCTTCAGAAACCTCTCACTGCCAGTTGTTCTTCTCCCTGGCCGAGGGAACACTAGGCACGGACGCACTGGCATACAGCTGGCCGCGGGGCCTTCGCAAATATGCGTTTCCCCCCAGTGAGCCTTCTTGCAGAGATGCTGTGCAAGGTCAGGGAGGACGAGGAGCAGGTCCTGTTGGTGGCCCTATTGGCCTACCCGGGCCTGGTTCCCGGAACTACTCTTGGGACCTGACTCTAGTGCTCACAGCACTACAGCAGGGCCCATTTGAGCCTTTTCAGACGGTCAAGCTGAAATTTCTTTCGATGAAGACTTTGCTTCTGTTGGCATTGGCCTCCATCAAGAGGGTAGGGGACCTGCACACATTTTCGGTCAACGATTCGTGCCTAGAGTTCGGGCCGGCTGACTCCCAGTCCCTGAAGGAGGGAACGGAGACGTCACGTCCCGTCGCCACAGCTCCTGTATCACTGCTGAGCTGCCGGGTCACCGGCTCGGCTCCTTAGTCGAAAACCTGAATATGCGTTGCATCTGCTGCCTACTTATACTCACGCTGTGATCAGCGGCAGCTGGATGCAATAATCACATGCCAATGTGCATTGGCTCGTTTAGTTTACACTCGAAGTAGATTGGTCTCTCTAAGCGAGATCCCAATTCGTCGGTCATCCGACGTGACGTCTCCGTTCCCTCCTTCAGGGAGCGAGGGTTACCATACGTTACCAAGACGTTCTTTAGGTCAACTCAAAAGAGTACGAAAAAAATGAGAAAAAACATCAAATAACTGCCAACACATTTCTCCGCATCATGATGACTCTCGTTAGACAATGTAGTCTGCAAATGATCATACACTGACTTTTCATAATTTCACAAAACTCACATTTGTTCCTCGAATACTGAATCAATTACCACACAAGAACATTACATTAAGTTTCATTGGTTTGGACAGCGTATAATAATGGGATAGATCTTCTCCATACGTCAACAGATAATCTGAAACAAGAGGTTGTACAGGCAGTCCCGAAGAATAATTATAAAAATGACTACTAGTTTATTATTAATACTATTATTAATATTCGTAGTGTTATTTAGTGATGCACAATATAGTGGTACCAAGTTTACCAAGGTTTTCTGTACTGGTCGACAATTGGATATGTAATTGTACATAATTTAATACCATGGGTAAATGAAATCTTTAGCAAATCTCAAAACAACTGTCTGTCATGCTTTAATTTATTATGTTGTAAAGCCTTTATTTGTAGTAATTCAAACAATTGATTTTTTGGTGCAGTTTACTTTTACACTTTACATGCAATAGAATAGAATTTTAACATTTGTCATTTATTGTTTATCGTCAATAAGGCAAAAATAGTTGGGGTGTTATCAATATTGGCCAGAATTCCCAGTATTATTACCAATAAAATTGAGGACATTTGAAAATGTAGTGGCAGCATGTGCATATACTGTTGTTCCTTTTTATTTTGGTATTGTTGCTTAGCATTTTCTTTTACTTATTTTGTTGCTTTTTGTTTAGACTTCAAGAGTCCTGAGGAGTGTACATACGACATCCACATGGTTTATGGCTATTCTGTGGTACAATTTTGTTAGCATGCAGTAGCCTTTCACAGCAGGCATGTCAGCACTTGCTCTGAACCATTTGTTGTGGTAACTAGATAATGGAAAACAATAAGCCAGGCTGAACTCAGATCAGTACCATGGTGCCTTATAGGGGCTGGATGTGATGGAGATCATAGAACTGGCAGCAGTTGCATTGCTTTGGTTTTAATTTTGCATGCACTTACAACATCCCACACCCTACATGTTGAAATATTCATGGAGACAAATGTTGCTTTCTTAGTATCATTGTTGTAATGAAGTAAAGTGTATTACTGTAAATATGTCATCTGTTTGAACGTCCAATAATCGCTGAGAAGATCACTGTCTGGATGTGTATGGCAAGTTTAATACATAATTTAATTTGCCATTTGTTTCCTTTAGCATGTCTTCAGAAAGGCGAATGTAAGGGCATTGTTGGATTATGTTTGATGTGTAATTTCTATGGTATGAGGTGCTGTCTTCTCTGCCTGCTCCTTTTTTCCCATAGATTATTTTGGCTGAGTCAGTGTGTGAGTTGCTCTCCCAAGGTCAATCCAATGAGATCACAGTTTTAAAAGTAAATTATTCTCATCTGCACAAATAGGATGATCTAATGCTGCTCGCCATGTTCACCCCTGAGATAATGGCTAGAAGGAAAAAGTTCAACAGTTGACTCTGGTGAAATGTCAATTTTCTTCTAGCCGTTTAACTTCTAATTAGACAAAAGCAATAACCTTTGCAAAATAGAGTCTGAATGTCTGGTTTTATTAAGAGACCTCTAATACTTGTCTTGGATGGACTGTCAAAGGCTCTGTGACATTGAGTTGTTTATTGTCTGGTGTCTAGAATTAAACATTAGACTGGGTAATTGCATTTGCGTCTTATGTAACTTGTCTTAGGTTCACAGTGACATACAGTGGTCATTTATCATTCTGAAGTTTTACAGTACTTGGAGTTTGTTCTAAGACACAATATGAAGAAATTTATGAACAATATTTAGCAATATGCTACTGAGTGTTTTATTTCTACACTAAAAGCAGAAAACACTCCTTTTGTGATTCAGTGTGGCTGATATATTTTGTGTAGATCAGAGCTAGAGGCCCAAAATGTTTTGTGACCCTTTTTGTGACCCTTTTTGTGACCCTTTTTATGACCGAAACCACATCGGTGGTAGTGTAATGCCAGTCTACACATTGTGTGTGCAGTAAAATTAATATTTGGGAGTGTATTTGAAACAAGGATTTTTTAAAAACAAACCTTACTCAGCAGTTCACACAATTAGTTCATTTGAAAAGCAGCATTGTTAGAAACACTGTAGGCATGTGTTTGAACCATGGTAAAGAACTCACTGCACTTTTGTTATTGTGTGTTATGACCAGTCTTTTGGATGAATGAAACTTAATTTTCATTATGTTCTTGGCAAAAATAAATTCTTGTCCAATCTAACGTTGGTGGGCTATACATACTGTAAGATCCTGGCACACAAACAGTGTTGTTTTAATCAGTTTGCCAAGAAACAATTATAGTCCTGAAGGCCATAAATGGCCATGGAGATACATTAGCTTAACTGCAATCTCTCTTACAAATCTGTAAAAGCAGCCAGAGGACCTTTTTAGTTTATCTTTATATAATAGTGTCTTTCCCCACCATGGCAGTTTTCAACATTATCAAATCTAAAAACAAATGTTCTGACTGATTAACAGAACCTATAGAAATGTGTACTGATGATTATATACCTGTGTCTGCTTTCATTTTTTTGCCATCCCCTCAAACATTTGATATATTTAGAGGACAACAATATTGCAGTATACAAGACTTTATTTTTGTTATTTAACAACCACGGATGCAAAATTAAATTAACTTACAGTGCAATTCTTGGCAAGACCTAACACTGATCTTGAAGTAGTCTGAGCAAGGCCTCTGAGGTCTGAGAAGACAGAGGGCGCTTTCTGAGCTTATCTTTTGTGCTTTGGTAGGCATTAGTCCTAGTACTGATCTCTATAGGAGGTTGAGCTGATGAATATTTGTTTGTTGCTCCTCATTCCATCTTTATCTGTATAAAACACCCCGAATTATGGCTGCTAATCCTTTATATCGTTCAGCTTTGGCCTGTGAATTCTCAAAATAAAGATCTTCGATCAAGTTGGCAAGCCATGGAGTGTTGAGTGTGCAATTAAAAATAAAATGCAGGAATCAATAAGAAATGTATTAATTAAAAATATAATCAAAGTATCTTAAAAAGACATTTTACATATTTTCATTTAATATAGTTAAATGAAATGATAACAAAAAATAAATCGTTTCAATGAGCCATGTTGTAAAAATCAGTCTAATTCAGTTACTGTTACGGGTTGGTGAGG